GGCTCGCTGCTGGGGTTTTGGCGGGGGACTCCCAGTCCTGCGCACTTTATGAGTTCCCAGAGCACCAGACTGGCCTGTTAAAGCTGCACGGTGAGGGCCCAAAATGCATCGACCAAACAGCAGCCAAGAAAAAGATACCATTTCAAAACGCAGCTTCCACAACACGATGCACCTGGTGCTGGAACTCAACAGAAGAGACCACACTTTGCTTAAAAAAGCGGCGGCCAGATCAGCTCTGAGACTACGAGATCCCACACGAGGAAGGAGACACGAATGGGGAAGGAAGGGCCCCGCCAGCGCGGCTGGAGGCACCGCCATGTCCCCCCACCTGCCAGGGGGGCTGCTGTCTGCCTGCCAGGCCGCGTGCGGAACCTTCTCGCCGCAGCAGCAGGGTCCCGTGCTTCAGGCCCGTCGGTAGCTCTGCTGAGTAATTAAGGTTCAGTCACCCACACAGCTGGCTATGAACACGCGTCCTAAATATATCTGGACATCACCACTCGCTGAGTTGTGGGGCTTTAGGGTCTGGGTTTGGGTGTTGGGGTTGTTTTGCACTATAACCACAGTTACCTATGCATTTTCTCACACATTAGGAAATGCCTAGAAAAAACTACTAAGAAAAACAACAAAGACCCAGACTCTGTGCTTTTCTCCTGAACTGTAACAAGTTGTATTAGTTGCTGCCATCCGAAGTATTAGAACGACATATGCAAAATATCATAACTGCTGACAGACAGCACAGCCTGGTTTTGAACATCTACAACAACTGGATTAGCAAATCTTAAAATCTTATTAAGCACTTCCGTAATACACAACACGCTTCTTAGAACCATACCCATTAGGAAAAAATAGCAAGAGGAATAACTGAAAGTAGCACTTCCCTTTTTCCCTCCGAAGCCTCAAAGCCTTGATTTCCAGGAAGGGAAACCACTACAAAAAAAGATCCTTCTTGACAGTGATCAACAGTTTTGTCTACAGGTCTGCAGCAGTCATCATCACTGGAGACAGAATCTATGGAGTTCATCAGGAATCACCAACAAATCACCAATTAAATTACATAAATCTTACTATCTTTTGTTTTTCGTATGCTTTAAACAGGGTACATTTTAAAATTTATAACTAAAATGAGGGGCCATCATACCAATCTTCTTGAAGTAGACTGAAAGACTTGTACTGATTTCAATGTCTACGTATTAATCCCAAAGAAAACTCTGGCACTGTCATCCAAGTTATCTCCAGCAAAGATGTGCGCTGCTGACCCCCACTCCATTTGTCTCTCAGCAGTAGTGTCCCTGTGCACAGCACACACACAGTAACCTACACGCTTCCCTCTTGGAGCTATAAGGGTTAGCATTTTTTAGAATAGAATAGAATAGAACAGAACAGAACAGACTATTTCAGTTGGACTACAACGATCATGTAGTCCAACTGCCTGACCAATTCAGGGCTGACCAAGTTAAAGCATGGTATTAAGGGCATTGCCCAAATGCCTCTTAAGCACTGACAAGCTTGGCACATTGACCACCTCTCTAGGAAGCCTATTGCAGTGTCTGACCACCCTCTCGGTAAAGAAATGCTTCCTAATGTCCAGTCTAAACCTCCCCTGGTGCAGCTTTGAACCATTCCCACGCGTCCTGTCCCTGAATCCCAGGGAGAAGAGATCAGCACCTCCCTCTCCCCTTTCCCTCCTCAGGAAGCTGCAGAGAGCAAGGAGGTAGCCCCTCGGCCTCCTTTTCTCCGAACTAGACAAGCCCAAAGTCCTCAGCTGCTCCTCATAGGCCATGCCTTCCAGCCCTGCCACCAGCGTTGTTGCCCTCCTCTGGACGCGTTCAAGGACCTTCACATCCTTCTTAAACTGTGGGGCCTAGAACTCCACACAGTACTCGGGGTGAGGCCACACCAATACTGCATACAGCACGCCTAATACAGTCATTTTATTAATTACTAACACCAAGTTTGCTTTCTCTCTATAGAATCACCAGATTTTTTTGTAATTATTATCCACTAAGGACAAGAATAGCAGATAGTACATGAATCACGCACAGAAGAAATGCCACTGGCCCGCAGTGCCACAGCCCAGTGTCTGTACGGTATGCACTGAGCAAGCCAGAGAAAGGGTAATTTGAAGAAATATTCTTGCATGTATTAATAGTCTCACACTCTTTTAACTACAGCATGCAGCAAAGTCAGGGGGGTATAATTATGCATGAGCAGGATATTAGGCTTATTTTTATGATGCCTTTTGTCTCACATACAATTGTGTTGAGGCTCTGCCTTAGTTACAGGATGTGGATCTCTACCACAGAATAAAGCTGTCTTCTCACCAGGTCCAGAAAAGCTGCATTGTGACTAAGACCATCAACTTCACGGTATTTGTAACACCATTATGTATTCTGCCTCCTTGTCACCAGGCCAAAGCATGAATATTTTTGGCTACATTAGTCTGACTGCTGATGTAAAGAGTACCATTACAGCAACTCGAGTTTGGCCTGCATATGAAAACAAGCCTATATTTCACTAAAAAGTAGGAAAAAAATATATAATCCTAAAGAGATAAAAGAGTAAATAATATGCTATCTGACCTCCTTCTGTCCCATGGCCATGAGAAAGCTGCACTGCACCAAGACAATGAACAAAAATATCCCTATTGTCATGGCCCCGTTTGCCCGAGCACCCCATTTCCCCTTGAGCCATTCGAGCCTTGGAGGAAGGGATTGCAGCAGCCACATTCTGTGGTACCCTTGCCTTGCAATCAGTACTGGGGGCGGCCAGGTCCCAAATGGAAAGCATCTATCTTACATGCTCAGCACATGGGCACATGTACACAAATTTGATAATGGAATTAAAATCTCAGAATTTGATTGAATTAGAGAGTATGCCAAAGAGTTGGATTGGGTTTTGCTTTAGTAAACTACAAAGTTGATGCTCATACTTTCAATTATGATTAACTCTGAGGACAAGATAAGCATCTTGCATCACCTTCTGAAAGGATGCTCACGATAACACCACACCCAGTGACCTGTCATGGGTGCCCACTTTCCAGGGACCCAGGACGCAGGAAAAAATGAACAGAGGACCGGCCCCAAAACAAATTAAGTGGAATGGTTTCTAACGTCTACTTTCCAACACAGCAATTCATCATATCTGAAGGGTGCCAGTACAGTTATTTTTCTAGCTCCTGTGGGGCCATGGTAAAGAGAGAAAACATCCCCATACTGCTCCAGAGCAGTGGGAGCACAGATTTACAGCATGCTCTGTCCTCTCTTCCTCCTGCGAGGCTCTCAGTCTTTCCTTTCTCCACCAACTGAATAAACATCACTGCAAATCCACAGCTAGTCCTTGGAGTAGCGTCCCAAGTCACTTGGAAGCAGCAAAGAGGAGACGAGCCTGCAGGTCCTCCCAGCACTCCCCATACAAGCTCTGCCCCAGCATCACGGGAAATCGCACTCAGGGCCTGGCATTAGAAATGGAAACTCTGGCAGGCAAATTCCCTGGCGTTCACAAAAACCTGGTTTCACCCAAGACACTCTGAGGGCCCAAAGATGAGGTCCGGATTATTCAGATGAAGGTTTTCAGAGGAATGGGAGAGTGACCGAACAGAGTCAGCAGGATCAGGCTGAAGTGGAAAGAAGGGTGCCAGGGGAACCGAGGCGAAGCTGCCCTCCAGCCTCAAGGAGCGCGGCCTACGCCATGCTCCAAGGCGAGGGCGCAGCTCTTCGCCTGGGTGGCAGCGGACCTTGGGAACCTGCTGGGCCTCCTGCTCCACCACACCAGGCCGGCTCTGGCCCCGCGGGTCAGCCGGCAGGCACGGCACGCGAAACAACGCGCTAAAAACTCACTAAAGCCCCACGTCCAGCAGGCAACGCAGAGACGGGCCCAGGTCCTCAGGGCCGGGCCGGGCCGCGCCGGCGGGCAGCTCCTCACAGG